CTTTCAGGAATGATTGAAAAACATTATGTATTAAATCGATTTGATGTTACAATAAACAAAATTTCTAAGGTAAAAAAACTGCCCCGCCTCAAAGGAACCAAAAAGTCAAACAATGTCAAAAAAAATTAAAAATTTTTGAAATATTCACAAATTAGATTAATATGGATTGAAATAGACAATGGGAATATTTAATAGTATATTATATACCTAGGTAGAGAAGTTGGTCATTATATACCGAGCGCTTTTATAAACCGAGGCGCGGAGCGCCGAGGTTTATAATGTGTAAGGTATATACTTAATGACTTTCTCTACCGAGGAATATATAGAATTTTTTTTACTACTAGGTACTAGTAGAAAATAAAAAAAATATTCAAAATATGTGCTCTTAATTGTTTTTTTGAACGCCCTTTTGAAAGTGCTGCCCTCTAACAACAGCTTATGATAACTTCCTATATGTACCTACAGAAACCTGTATTTTTTTTGAATTGACGTATGAAATTGAAATTGGACCAATAGAAACATGACAATATCCTTGCATCATGACGTCATTTTCATTATTGACCTAGGTATTTTTTCATTATTTTCATTATTAACCTAGGGAGAGAAATTCAATTTTTTCCTAAAAAAATAGATTGAATAATGACTATTTCTCAGGTTAGTAGTAAAAAAAATAGTTTATGAGCGCATAAATTAGTATATCTAGCAAAAATGTATGCAGACAAAATAGATAAAATGTTTGATTAATTAACAAAACTGACACTTCTTCTGAACGCCACTTTCCCGCACTAGTGCGGGAAAATCGCGCACTAGTGCGGGAAAGTGACATTTTCAGAACTAAGATGCGTGCGGGAAAGTGATAAAAAATGCACGCTCGTAGAAAAACAGATTTTCAGTAATTTTGCTATTATGTTGCCGACTTTATATGTTTCCAGTTAAATTGTTAAAAACATTGAAAAACAATGTATAGTGCATAGTGTTGGAGTTCCCTTCGATACCCGCTACATATTTGGCGCTCAACGTGGGGCCTGGGGTTTTGTAGTGAACCACCACCCCAATGACTTTCTTTTTTATAATCTTCGATTGTCCCAAAGAAATCAAGACAAAATGGGTGACCCTGTTTTTCTGACGAATGAGCAATTACAAACATTACTCGCTGGTATGAGAGATATGTCCCAGAATAGGCCACAATCTACTTCGAACCAAAGTACAGCTGCCAATTTTTCTAAATGCGGCTCAAGACTTTCCATAAAGCCAGACGAAAATGCTGAAGCCATCACTATTTACAAAGACTGTCTGAACATAAGTGAAGATAACGCTGTAAAAGGTTTACCCATGCTAGTAGATGGCGCTGCTGCAGTATGGTGGCAAGGCACCAAAAAGCCAAACATCTTATGGTCTGAAGTTTTAGATGCGCTACCTCATGCTTTTGGCTTTAACAAACCAGCACATCAGATTTATAAAGAGCTGTTTTCTCGAGAACAAGGCAGTACGGAACCAACGGATCTTTTCGTAAATCAAGCCCGTGCACTGCTTTCAAAGTTGACAACAATCACGCCCTTGCCAGAGAAGCACAAGTTAGAAATGGTTTATGGACTCCTTCACTATAGAATCAGAGAAAAACTTCCTCGACATAGTTTCCAGAGATGATCGACAAATGCACAGCAATCGAATCCAGCCTTGCTGGATCCAACGTAAAAGTGACTTCCACGTCCGTTGCAGAAAAGCCCAAGGACAGGTGTGCATTTTGCAAAACATATGGACATTTTCAAGCTGTTTGCAGATTTAAAGCCAAGTCTGCTGAGAAAGCCTCGTCCACTACTTCTGCCCTAACAGTCCGATCCAGTAACCCGTCCTCCATAAATGTAACATGTTATGGTTGCGGTAATCCAGGATATATACTTTCCAATTGTCCTCAATGTGAACCTGCACCAACAACCATTTCATCTGTCGAAATACTCGCTGCTGATCTCGGTGAACCTTCCAGTTTGTTATCAACGTTTGATGGTTCGCCTTCAAGATCCATGATACCTGTCATCATTCGAAGTAAATCAGGTTTTGCTTTTGTGGATTCCGGAGCAAGATGCAGTATTGCAGGCTCAAAGTTGTTAAGCCACGTATCTGTGTGATGCTATTCGGCATCCATTCAAGACTGCTCCAATAAAACTGCTATTTGCTCATGGTATACCCCGAGAAGTTGAAGCAAAGATGTACCAGTATTCCATCGAAGTTATGAATAAACAACGAAAACTGCAAATTATTGCTGTTCCAGACTACAAAGATAGTAAGACCTCACTTGATGTTGATTTCATATCATAATTCAATATAGTGCTCAATATACCTTAGAAAATATACTATTTCAATGATAATCCAAGCAATTCCTTGCCATCACAGGATGAAGTTATTGATTCCAACGCAGTTTTATCTGTTGTTGACGGGAATGATTTGTCGTTGCCGACTCTTTCCGATATTGAGAAGGGACATTGAAATCGCTGTTGGAACATAACAAGGATTTGTTTGATGAAAATACAGGAGTTACCCCATATGTTGAGCATACCATCATCCTCACTGATGATATTCCCTTAGCTGCACCACCATTTCGCTTATCTCCTGCGAAGAAAGAAGTTTTGCGTCAGGAGCTTGACAAACTTCTTGCCAGCGATATTATTGAAGAGGGCGAATCGCCATACGCATTTCCAGTCGTTCTTCTACCGAAGAATGACGGAACTTTACGTCTTTGTGTTGATTATCGCCGACGGAATGCTGTCACCAAGAATGATCGTCACCCGTTTTCTCGTATAGATGACCTTATCCATTGAACTGGGAAAGCTAACTACATAACCACCTTAGACCTGAAGAGTGGTTATCATCAAGTACCGGGAGAAGAATTTCGTGATAAAACAGACTTTGCCACGCCATTTGGACTTTATCGATATAAAACGATGCCTTTTGGTCTATCCACAGCTCCAGCAATGTTTTAAAAGCTAATAAACAGTTTTTGTTCAGGTTTGCCGCATATTCAGATGTTAGGATACCTTGATGACTTAATAATTTTATTCACGACTTTCGAACAACACATCAAAGACTTGAGTGATGTTTTCAACCGTCTACGTATTTACAAGTTGAAGGTGAAAAAGAAGTGTCGCAGAAACGCAATAACTCTGACATAACTACAACATAAAGAGGGGGAATGATCAGCCTCAAATCATTCAACTATACTCCAAAACTAATTCAAATAAGTTTAAATAAAAGTTGTTTTTTTCCAGTGAAAGAAATTAAACACTTGAAAGATTCCAACTGAGTGAACAATTTATTAATTATAATAAAGTATACCTACTATAAGCACTATAATAAAGCTATAGCAAATTAATACAACGAGTCAAAACTATCAAATAAGTATCTACACATCAATGAATACAAAAATACCTATTTAGTTAAAATTGATGATAAGTCTGTACCCAGAGATAATACCTAATTCAATAATTATTAGGTATCTTATCAATTTAGAGGTGTTTTGCTCTAGTTCAAGTATATAGAGGAAAGTCGCCTAATACTTTTTTTTAAACTGTAAAATTATGTCAAAAAAACATCCCGACATTTGTGCCAGTTTAATGTTATAGCATAACTATACATTATTAGTTAATATGGTCGGCAAAAAAATAAAAAATTATTTTAGGAAGTAATTCAATATTTTTAAAAAATTTCTGATTTTGTCAATTTAAAAAATAGTAGCCTAATATTGGATGGGGTATCCAATATTAGGAAACCATTTTTTTATTCAAAGGCTATTGACAATTTCAAAATTTTTAAGCACTAGTCATATTTGCTTTATCCCATTGCTTTCTTCTCTAAGTAGCCATTTCTGTAAACAATATATTATCGAAGTTGATATCAAAGCATTGCCTAATATCGGATATCCAATATTGAGAACCTGTAACTATCAATTAGCTATCCAATATTAGGCACATCATAAATTTTTTAGGTTATAATTATTTTGGACAAAAAAAAAAAGATTTTATTAATGAAAACTCTAGAAATATTTAAAATGTTTATCTTTCAACTGATAATTCAGCTCCTAAAATAGGGAGCAAATAATTTTCATACACACACATTTCATTTAAATGTCGTTTATAACAACAAAGTCTACTATAGAACTCTGCAAACTTATTAGTGGGGTTTTAAGGTGTAACGCAGCTTCTGGTTACTAGAAAGAAGCACATATATAATTACGTTATTAAAATAGGTAGGTATCCAATATTAGGCAGTATCCTAATATTAGGCCTTTCCTCTACTGGTTCAAAAATCACAGCGACGTGAATATAAAATAATGTTCATACGAGTGTTCATATGATAATCGAGATCAAATGTTAGGTATAATATAAATCAATTAAAACTATTCTTAGTTTTTTTATTGATTGAGATGAACAACAAGCTAGGGGAGCACGCAGGGCTAGTAGTAGCACAGAACTAACAGCGGGGGCTTCTTTAGGCCTTTACACAGCACCACAGCTGACGTTACTATTCAATATTTAGTTGAAATAACACTAAAAAAGTAAGCCAGGCGTTGGACTCTTCACAAGTATAGCCTTTCAACTTTACTGTAGCACTACAAAAGGACGACTGGGCCTGGTAGTACACGGGGGAAATTATTCGACACACAAACAACGACAAGACGACGTCGTCTTGTTCCAAACTTCCAATCAAAAGGGGGCTCGAAAGGGGGCTTCCAGCCAACACAACACTGTATGTTATTTAGATGTAGACGGTTCTGGTCTAATGAAAAGGGGGCTTACAGCGCTTACAGCCAACACAACACTGTCCACGCAGACTATTTTGTCTAATCGGAAAAGGACTTCACTCTTTAGCCAACACAATATTGTAATTGACGACAATTTCTTGTACCATCAAAAGGGGGGGTTTCTCAATGGGCTTTTTGCCAGCACAGCACTGGTGCAGTCAACTTTTACAAGAAAAAAGAAGGCCTTTTTTCAACTTCTTTTTAGGAGTGTTAAAAATTCTCACAAAAAACTTGTCACCAACCAAAGGGAACAATGGCGAAGTGTATGTCGTTTTTTTGTTCCTCCAAATTCTAGAAGATTATTGCCATATGTCGGCTTTTTATTGGTCGGTTGAAAAATGCTGGTGCCATAACAACAGTCAACAAAGACAAGCACGGCAAGTAAGTATACAGAGCGCAAAAAAGAGACAAAAATAATGCATTTGGCAGCTGATGTGTCAGGAAAAGCACAGTGGTCCAATGATGCAAAACATAAATAGACAAAAAAAAAAGAAAAGTTCAAAATGGGCCAAAAAGAGCAAAACGAGATGGTATTGAAGCCGATCCGGAAAAGGTTGCTGCTATCACCCATCTTGCCGCATCCAAGAACGTTAAAGAAGTTCTCAGTTTTGTTCAGGGTTGTTCATGGTTCCGTAAATTTATTCCAAACTTTGCCAATAATGCCAATATCTTCAGACCACTAAATAATTTGACAAGGAAAAATGTTTCATGGTCGTGGGATTTGGCACAACAAGAATCGTTTGAGAAGCTCATAGTGCTCCTGACTTCAGCACCTATTTTTCGTCAAGCCGATCCTTCTAAGCCATACATTATTAGGACTGATGCCAGTGCCTATGCTATCGGTGCATGTTTGCTCCAGGGGAAGGGGACCCGATGAAAGACCGATAGAGTAGGCCAGTCGTTTACTTACTGCGGCCGAGAAGAACTATAGCTGTACTGATTGATCGGGAAGCCCTTGCACTTCTCTACGCAGTCAACAAGTTTCGCGGATACATAGAAGGTAATTAAGTCAAAACTGATCATCAACCTCTCCGATGGCTTATGACATTAAAATCACCAACTGGTAGATTGGCCCGGTGAGCACTTCAACTGCAAGCTTCCTACCCCAAGATTGACTACATTTCAAGACGTACGAATGTCGTCGCAGATACATTATCAAGACCACCCATTGACTCGGATAGCAATGACCAGTCACTTATAGCTGTCGACACAGTTACTATTTTGCTACCTAATAAATCGGCTGCAGAGACCAGAACCCAGCAGTTAGATGATCCATACACTAGGAGTATTATCGACTGTTTCGAGAATGCTGATTCTGATACTGTCGACATTGCCAGATGGACCAATCGAGGCTACCTTATGGTTCAGGGCATTTTACACCGCTACGTCAGTGACTCCGATTCTGACAGAGCTCAATTAGTTGTTCCTCAAGGTCGAGTAGGGTCTATACTCCATGAGTTCCATGATTCTCCACTTGCAGGACACTACGGAGTCGACAAAACTTTGAAACGAATCTCACAAAGGTTTTACTGGCCGACGATGAGAAAAGACATCACTGAGCACATCTGAAAAGGCATAGAATGTCAAAGATATAAACCAACGCATCTTAGGCCTTCTGGTTTGACTCAGACTCCTGTTTTGGCTCAGCGATTTGAAACCTTAGCTATGGATTTATTTGGATCACTGCCTGAAGCAGAAACAGGTGAAAGGTGGGTTTTCGCTACAGAAGATACTGCCACCAAATGGACAGAGTTATTCATTAGTGACAATAGCGCGCAGTTTGTCACAGGTGTCATGCAACAGGTTGCTCACTGCCTCGGTTTTACCTAAAATCTTATACCGTTGTATCACCCAGCTTCCAATCCTGAAGAAAGAAGAAATAGAGATCTGAAAACCCAATTAGCAATACTTGTGGAAAGGGATCATACGTAATGGAAAGAAGCCTTGCCTTCTGTGAGATTTGCAATGAACTCTGCTAACAACCTATCTACTGGTTACAGCCCTGCCTATTTATGTTTAGCTCGTGAACTGAAAACCCTGCATGATGTCGAACGTGATCTCCGAGCTATCGTTAATAGCGAGAACTTCATTCCTGAGATCACCCGAAAATTAAATATTGTTGCTAATGTCCTGTCCAACGATAGAGAGACAAATGAACTGAGTAAAGATGCGTCCAAGATGTATGCTGACAAACATCGACGCAATGAACCATTCACTATAGGAGAAAAGGTTTTGGTCAACTCGCATGTGTTGAGCAGAGGATCGCAGTCTTACACATCCAAGTTTGCCCCTAGAAGAGATGGCCTCTATATAATCCTGAAGATAGTATCGCTAACCTCTTATCAGATTGCCTCCACCCAATCTCCAACATTACCGGTGGGTATATACCATTCATCAGCTCTCAGCAAGTACATAGGTGACGAACATCTAGTTCCTGTTGGGCCTATTCGACATAGGGGTCGTCCACCTGGAAGAAGGACTTCAAGGTTACGACGACCCAAAAAGTTTTTTGACGATGTCTAATTTTGTTGGAACTTTGGCGAGACGCTGCAAGTTCCAAAGGGGGAAAATGTAACGCCTACACTTGCGACGCCAAAGCCATTACCGTTGCCGTAGCCATAGCCACTACCATGTCTGACAAATGTCATCAATCAGTCAGTCAGTTTCCCCGATCAAGTCCATTATCAGTAATTTTGCTATTATTTCGCCGACTTTCTTTGTTTCCAGTTAAATTATTGTTAAATGAAAACATTGAAAAACAATGTGTAGTGCATAGTGTTGGAGTTCCCTTCGATACCCGCTACAGTTTATTATAAAACTATTGTTGTGCAGACACCTTTCCAACAGAATCAGGTATGAGACACTATTGAACTTGGAAAAATATTCTTTTTCTGCGATTGACAAGAAATGTCAGCATTTTTGACCGGTTGACAGGTCGCAAAACTCAATATTCTGGTATTTTAATTATGTTTCAATAGTTGCTAAGGTATCAATGAATAACATTACGGCAGACACTTTTTCGGCCTAGGCCGGGAAAGTGATTCTCATACTGCTAAATAATTGGAACAAAAAGTCAAACATTTAACAAACATTTAACGGATCGCAGAAAAAATAGTATGTGTATTTCGGTGGAAAAGCACATTCTGGGCCTTTGGTGTTTGCCGGCCTCGGCTACGCCTCGCCCGTCAACTTACATTGTCGACCGAGAATGTGTCACTTTTCCACCTAAATACACAATATACTATATAAAAAAAAATCAAAAAAAAAATATCAAAAATTATGAAAAATGAAGTAGCAATAATTAGGTAGGTAAGTTAGTACAGCAAGATTAGAGATAGATGCAAAATGCTGCTTATCGTGCAGTCGCTCTGAACAGGCAAAAATAAGAAAAAATGTAGGAAAAATTGAACAAGATAAAAAAATAATTTTCTAGTTTTTTCTCAAATAGATAAATTTTCCTTTTAAGTTAAGGTACCTACTATTGGTACTACAAGATAAAGCTGAGGGTGAAATAAATTAAATTCAAGGAACTGTCAAAATTCTAGAAATGTTTTAATCAAAACTTTTTAATAGTAGATTATACCACTAGTCAATAATGATAGCTATTATTCCCGAGGAATATTTACGAACTGAGCCGTGTTAGCGGCGAGGGAGTAACATTCCGAGGGAATAATAGCCATTATTGCGAGTAGTATACTCTACTTTATTAACGACAAATTAATTTATTTGAAATGTTCTTTCAAAAACGCTCATTGTTCATCCATCTCAATACAAATACACAAGCACTACGCGTTTGATACTGACACTTCCTATTCAATTTGAGCAATTTTGTGATTGGTGTGCAAGCGGGAATAATGACCATTAATCCCTGCGGGAATAATACATGGCAGTATACTGCCAAAATCACAAATATAATACTTACATTATATGTCAGTCGTAAATAAATTAATTTTAACCTATCCGGATTTTTATCTTAAAACTTCACCCTTTCAGTTATCTAGCCAGATAGGTTTCTGTCTGGATTCAGTAAAGAGTTAATAGGGATGGACACACAAATTTGGTTTACACCCACTCAATTTAGAGAGAATAGTCCAATTATCCCACACTAACATTTAAATCTAAATACCGAAGCACCAATACCTATTTATTAGGTAAAACTCTGAATTGACTCGCCTCAGAAAATATGGTACTACACAACAAAATGGAGGTTCACAATAGGTAAAAAAAAAAATATATATTTTATTTATATTTCAAAGGTAGATAAGATAAGATTCATCGGGTAATAAAAACCCAACAGTGATAGTAGACACTGATGGTGGAATAAAACGAAAAATATTAAGGGAAAATCTAGAAATCTGAGGAGAAAGAAAAATTACAAAGTGAAAATCGCTTTGCCCGATCAACGGTCTGCAAATGAAGATGCCTTTTTAGAACCAAATTCCTTGAAAAAAAAACCAGTCTCGTGTTCCGTATACTCAACTGTGTAGTAACCGTATCGAACCAATCAGAAGACAACACTCAATACACACAATAGAACGTGCTCACTTCATTAATGAAACACCACGCTGATTAAATAGGAATAGATGAAAACACATTAGAATCATTCTAATTGTTTACAAATTGTAATGATTTAAATTTAAGGTTATGTTATGAATCAAGTCATCAAGTAAAAAATAATCATTTCAGAATCAGAAGTTAGAGAAAGACAGAAATATATTTATTTGCTGAAAGCAGGATAAACATAATTTCTCCAAATAAAAATATCAATGAGGTTAGTTAAAGCAACATACCACAATATCAAAATAAATTTATTATTATTTACTAGATGGCGGTATGTTAGTACTTTTCTTAATAACAGATATTTGCATTTTTATGCTCATTTTATTTATGGATAGATGGCAATACTGATATTATATTGACTAAACTAAATTTAGTAGATACTTTTCAAATTACTTGAGTTAAGAATTATTATTTTGCTGATTCTTAAATGGCGAAAATACAACGTTATAATGAAAATTAGAAGAATTGGAACATGTTACGAGAATGATAAATTTATCGTGACAAATGTAGAATCCAAAGTGAAAACAAGCAGTAGAAGCAAGCATAATCCCCGAGGGCGATAAAGTATCCGTTCCAACCTTCATCGGGAAAAGTTCTGGTGATCGTATTCTTTGATTACCCAGAGTGAGCTGCTCCTGGAAACCTGACATATGAACTGGTGCCAACATCAATGCTGACCTATATTCAGATGCCTCAAACACCTTATCTCAGAACATCCACTGCACAGTTCTGACTTGGCCCCGTGCGATTCTCATGTTCAACCCATTGAAGAAAATCACTAAAAATTCAGTGGATCAACATCGGAATACCCAGATGCAGAGGTAGAGTTAATCGGGCTTCCTCTAATCTTGTTTCTTTCCAACAATCATTACCTATGTTTTTGTACTTATACGCAATATATTATAATTATTCCAAGTATAGCTCTTGTGGGAACACCTCTCAAGTGTCCGTTAACATATAGTTTTGAATTAAGTATCATAGGTATTATTTTCCTTTATAACCCCATACTGCTCTCTGTTCCAAGTAGCCTACTTGGCAGAATGAAACTAGCCGCTTGACCCAGTCAATTTTTAGCCAGATTGCGATTTATCAGTTAAGTTTTTTTTTTCTATATTATGACTTCTGTATTGGTTTAATACGTACATATAGAGAATAACATTAAGTGTTCATAGAATTTTATAAATATAATTCATTCCATCTTAAAGGAACCAGTGCATATAAAATATAAAATCCCTTGCTAAGAGGGCCTTTATTGCTAATAGTATGTATATAATATTACCAATACCTTCTTATTTAATTTAATCTTTCATTGCGCGCACTTTTATAGAAAAATCAGTTCAAGAAACAACATTCCAAACTTACGGCAAACAACTTAACGGTGGAAAACTTACCAAAAAGAAACTTTTATCGTCACTTCTTTGTTTTTCGCCAGGAAAAAGAGAATGGTAGGCACACATAATAAATTGCCTCAAAGCTATTTTAACAGTTTAAACTCGATGACAAACTTCAAACTGTAAATAGTAGATTTTGATCGATGTTATTTAATTTAGCCAACTCAATATTCATTAAATGAGATCCATGATCCATGGAGTTATGATAATGATACAGCGGCAACGTATTCAAATAGAAAGCTCACAAAAGCAACTCGTGCAATGACTAAACTTTCATTAACTTTTTAGTGAAAATTAAAAGTTGGAATGCCGTTTATTTCTGCCTTTCTATTGACTTTCCTCGGCTGGAGGCATTGTTGGCTCTAAGCGATTTTCCACGCAGTCCAACATCGCCGCATTGCTATTATTTAATTTTGCCAGTTAATTTCAACTTCCTTCCAGTTAAAGTTGAGAAAATTGGGTTTCGGACGCAAAAATTAATTTTCTTGTTTTCCGCCCAAAACTATTGTTTTAATACAAACTTGTGGTTCAAATAATTTGTGTCTGATGATAGGTTTATTTTTTCCGAGGTTAGCAATGTATGTACGACTCTAAATCACCATCATTTAATGAGATATGATTTTTGCAAAGAAGGAGTAAATTTTGTTTAAATGCTAAAAGGGACGGAAATACTTCAGATGATTGAAGTCATTTCAAGTTCACTTGACTAGGCTTCATGACCTTCTCCACAACAGATTAAAACAACTACCCGAAAAGTTCTGGCAGGCCTTTACGGAAACTTTCCAAAGTGCGAGAAGATCTCCCACGGATTTCCTACGTCATTATAATAAATTTACGCACGTTTTCACATTAGATGCTTAAGCCGAATACCTATAAAGCACAGCTTCTCGGTTTTAGGAAGCCCATAAAATATTTGCAAAGCAATATGAAGGAAAACCCTATTTTATGAAGACCCTTCGAGGGCCTTGAAACAGAGATTTGAGGAATAACTCTCTCTCTCTAGGGAAAGGGAGATCTGTTTTCCGGGGGCAAAATGTGATGATTTATATTAAATTTTGGGCGATTGGAACTTTAGAAAGTTGGTTTTTGGTGTATTGTATTCGTTCAGTTTATCAGTAAAAATTTAAAACTATACACCCAATTTAAATAATGAATTTTATGATTGAAATTTCAAATGCTTTTTGAAGTTTTAAGAAATGTTCCTACTGGCCTTATGTTCAACTTGGAACGAGATTTTCTATAGATATTGCAAATGCTTTTCTTATAACAGCAGTCAAATTGACTAAATTAAAATTTATATTTTCATCATTCTTGCAAACCATGGGTATATATGATCGGAGTACCAAAGAGAACCCATGTAACCTTCCGTATCGACTTAGGTTTATTCTGATTTAGCGTCCTACTTTAATTTATAAGTTTCAATAATATATGCCACACATAACATTGAAAAACACGTATTCGGGTGTAGAATATTTCTGTGAAGAAGTTTGAAGGTTTTTTTTGCACGGCCAGTTCTCCATTTTTAATTTGGAGTACCTATCGAAGATATAATAACGTGAGTTTCGAGACAGGATCAATATGTTCTCTGTTGATGTCGAGAGGAGTAGTAGTGTAGATACTGATCACCATCAACTTTGTTTGGCAATATTGATATATATATCAACCTACATAGGTAGTGCGAACAGACTTGCGGTATCATCTGCATAGCCGATATCATTTATTGAGATGCCATTGATTTTGGTACCCCGTATTTCATATTCCAACGCTTAATGAAAAAATTTCTCAACATTATTTTGGAACAAAATAGGTGCCAGACACCGTTCAGTATGACTTAGTTCTTTATTGACACATTGCTGTCAATGAGGACTCCAGTAGCTAACTATTGCCAATATATTATCAATCTTTATTATCTATGCCGAACTACTGTGAAATTTTCCTTTATGTCATCAAAAGCTTTCTGATCAAAAGAGCTAAAGCAGATGGAAACATCCTCTATTTGGCCCATAGTATTTTTGTACAATTAATTTCCTAGTGCAGAGAGCTTCTCTAGTGTTAATTTTCTCGATAAAGCCGAATGGTGTATGGGGCTATTTTTCTTTCAGAATAATACCAGATGTAAACTCTCCCAATTAATTCATTGGAATATGCCTAGACGTTATATGACGTTAAAGAGATTTGTAAGATATTTATTATCGACTTTAATACTTCTGAACAGTATGTCGTAAACTAAACCTCAACCACTATTCTTACAATATTATTCGTTATCGGTTATTTGTACGCTTATCCCACGTAATTCCTTCAAGTTCCTTCAGTCTCCTCATCTCATTGTTCTTGAGTTCATTAGCTTATCTTGTTTCTTGTTATAGGTGGATTTTGTTCGCTGCTGTTATTTTTCAACAAGTTCACTATCTTGTCATTTATCAATGGCGTTTTTTTCTTTTTTTGGTGGACCCAATGTCATAGTAGTTTTTGACAGCTACCCGACTAAGGGTTCAGAGAAGAGTACGAAGATATCTAAGCATATTGGCGGATTCCAGGCTGTTATATCCTCTCAAATTTTATTTGACGCCAGTAAAGTCCAATGAAATGGTAATTTTTTTACAGGAAAGCGGTAGAAGGTTTTTCAACGGAATTATATGTTTTTTGGGGTGCTGAATACGAATCTAAAGTTTGCTGCCTCATAGCAGAACCGGCTCAGGCCGAAAATCGCGAAAAACCTCGAAATTTGCGGACTTTTTTCGGTTTTCTAGTCATATCTTGTAAACGACGCATCGTACGGAAAATGTCACTGTATTCAAAGTGAAGAGCATGGAATTCGATATCGAATGACTTTTCTAACTTTTTTACTGTTAAATTTATAAGCTCTCCATCGTCACTCGCGAAAGGGCCAATTTTAATGAACTTTTTGAAAACTGCAATAAACTTTCTTTTAGACGAGAGTGATTTCAAAACAACCACTTTACGTAAAAAAATCCTTGAATAAAATTTGTACTCAACCAAATATTGAATTCAGTGAGCACCAAAATTTTAAGTTTTGATCAATATACTATACGCATATACTGATAATTTTATTTTCCCTCCAAACGCTTGTTTGACAAAATGAAGGGGTCCAATAATAAAAAGTCTGTGCCTTCGCAAACTACACTTATCAACCATAAATTACTTCCCCCTCCATTTTTCGTGAGCCTGACTTGAAGATTCATGAGTACCTATTATGCATGTGGATGCAACAGGAAGTAATCAGTACCCATTTACAAAAAAAAATATATTTACTCATTTATTACATTGCATTTTACTTTCATTCGTTTTGTTGGGACTCTAAAAGGTTTGGGAGTAGGGTGTGTAGTGGATGATGATTGTCCAGGCTCAGGCTCAGGCTCAGGCTCAGGCTCAGGCTCAGGCTCAGGCTCAGGCTCAGGCTCAGGCTCAGGCTCAGGCTCAGGCTCAGGCTCAGGCTCAGGCTCAGGCTCAGGCTCAGGCTCAGGGTCAGGGTCAGGCTCAGGCTCAGGCTCAGGCTCAGGCTCAGGCTCAGGCTCAGGCTCAGGCTCAGGCTCAGGCTCAGGCTCAGGCTCAGGCTCAGGCTCAGGCTCAGGCTCAGGCTCAGGCTCAGGCTCAGGCTCAGGCTCAGGCTCAGGCTCAGGCTCAGGCTCAGGCTCAGGCTCAGGCTCAGGCTCAGGCTCAGGCTCAGGCTCAGGCTCAGGCTCAGGCTCAGGCTCAGGCTCAGGCTCAGGCTCAGGCTCAGGCTCAGGCTCAGGCTCAGGCTCAGGCTCAGGCTCAGGCTCAGGCTCAGGCTCAGGCTCAGGCTCTTCAGTACTCGGAGTGGCAGGGTGTGGCGGCTGTTCTTCAACTCAAAGCAATGTGGATGTTGATATGTTATAAAAGACGCATAATTAAAATTACCTTCTTCTGACTGTGGAGCAAATGGAGGGTCATCTTCTTGCCTATCGTGGTCGGTTGTTTCATCCACGTTGGTGCAGGTATCGGCACAATTGATGCAGACTTGGCTGCAGAACATATCTGCGCGCCTGCAGCCACAACGGCTACCACAGTTATTGCGGCACTTGCATGATATTTGCTGCATTAGTTTGTCAAGAGCCGGGAGTTTTTAGGGTGGTAAGTGGGATCAGGCCATTTGTGGTTGATTTCCAACCCCACAGTTTCGGAGCCAAAATGTTGCTGAGCTACAGTTGCACTTGCAAATATACACGCAAGCTATACTGGTAAGCTGCAGCATCGGTGGGAGGGATGGATGCAATGTTACTGGAAAACTTGAAGGTAGATATCAGGTACTGTTTGTATCGTAGCGCATTCAAGCTAGTTGTTAGGTGGTCAGCCCCGTACAGGGCAACCAAAAAATTTTCTCCAGCAGCAGCAATATCCACTTGCTGCGCTGAAGGATCCAAGAATTTCCCAACGGTCTCTTCAAGCTCTGGATGTTTGGAGATAGTCTTCAAGAATTTAGTTTTGCCTTGATTTTATACAGATGACGTGGAATGGCATCCACCCATCGCATGCAGAAACATCATGTGCTTGGCAAGATTCTGTTTCACTGCAAACTGCGGTTGGTACAGTAACTGAGGCGTTTTCCCCTTCCCTGGCTTCAGCAGATACACGTTTGGCGAAGTGCTAAGACCCATCATAATTACTAGCAGATCTATATCTTCCCCGACGATGGCAACAGCTTGATTAGTCGAAGTCAATGATTCAGCCGTCCGAACAATCAATGTATCTGCATTCTCATTTGCTTGTCGGCAGGCAATTCCAGCTTCTTTACACTTTGCCATCAGCATGCTGATTAAGCGACTTTTGTTTTTGGAATTGGACAGAAATTTTTCTTGAGACACCGACGTAATCATTGTGTGGCTGAATTGTAGTTCCACTAAGCTTTTCTTAATTGCTCTCTTGAACCGCTCCATAGAATTTGTGCCTGTGTTTTCATCGGAATATCTATCAAAAATGATGACTGCTAATGGACTGTATTTCTTCTCTACGTAATTGATGTAAGTATTGCAAATATTGTCGAACGTTTGCCCCTTTAACTACACAACTCTGTGTAGTAAAAATACCTCCATCGATCGCATATGCTGTATTGCTAGCCAATGGTGTCGTGTCTTGGAGAGATTCGGAGGATTTGTATGAATTAGATTTCGTTCCTTTTCGCAGGCAACCCTCATCAAACAGTGCTAGGGAATATGGAGCCAATTCATATGTTAAGAACTCCTCCAGTTCTTCGTGAGATTGTTTAGCAATTAGCATTCTTTGAAACAAAGTGTTCGGCTTCACAACCACGGGCTGGTCATCAATGAGGATAGCTGAGTTGACAGTTGAAGCGGCTGCACTCGGTCGCTCCTTTTAAACTTTACTGTTTTAAAATCTTTGCCCACAATTCGATCGATGCCATCAATTCCCACCTCCCTGGCCAAGTGACAATTTATCTTCCTATTCCGACAATCCCATTTCTAATTGATATAATTTCGTGACTGTCTGGAAAAGGTAAGTGTTGCTGAAACCAATCAAACATTTTCTGCATGCAACTCCTGGCATCACGGCTGTCGGCGTGCTGGTCAGTTGTTCCAAAATTCACCCCGTAGAATTCGTCGATCTCCTTAGCAACATTCTGGAGCGAAGTCATCCCTTCCGCAAGCTCTAGTCAGTCCCCCTTCAACCTTCATATTTTTCATGAGCTGCTGCTCAATGCACATATCGATCCAGGTTCCGCACCCACATTTCTCACTACGGCGGATAGTAAAACCTCCTTGTGTAGTAAATGCTTGAAATTCTTCTGGCGGCATGAAGTGTTCCAATGCTAGCATATCTTGCAAGTAGATGTAGGGGGAATTGGCGTAGAGGTAGTGTCCGCTGGCATGAAAGTAAGGGAGCATTTCGTGAACGACTTGAAGATGGAGCTTCCAGTTGCCCATCCTTTTAGCTTCAATAAACTGCAAAACCAAAGTTAGCATTTCAAAATATTGAACCCACAACTATGCAGTGGGCCTTAGATTGGCTAGATGTTGGAGCTGGGCTTTGAACATTTGCTTAATTTCCATCCCCCATCCTTCTTCGTGTTCAATAAAGCAGGACACTTAAATCCACACCATACAAAGCCTGTTCAACGACAAACTGAAACGAGGGGTAGAAAATTCATGGAATTGATTATCACCTTACCTAGGGCTGTAAGTGCCAGAGTGTTTCCTCTGACAGCCCTGGCGTAAGTGTGTCCTGTCACGATCTTCTCAGTACTGTTAACTGCATACATTATTTGACACTTCAGCTAGATCACTCCCTTCCATTATATAGCCCACTGCCCCCATGAACGACATCAGTAAGTGGAACCCTCCCAGTCTTACCACCATGCCACGTAACTCAGTGTCTCCCTCGCGACTTGCAAAGATATCTCGCGCCTTGAGGTATAGGGGCAGATCAAACGTGACAATCGTTGTTTTTTGTTTAGGACAGCATGACTGTGTATTCTGGACCGCGGTTAAAGGCCGAAACCCACTAGCAACACGCCACGCCATACTACGCCATGTGACACAGATTCACGTGGGACAGTTTGTGTGTAAATGGACGGATGGCGTGGCGTGCCATGACGTGGTATCGCGTGTGGCAAGTGTGTACGCGGCATATATAAATAAATGGAAGAATATACGCATACATTTTCGTCACATGGCGTGGCGTGGCGATGTATGACGTGGCGTGTTGCTAGTGAGTTTCGGCATTAACAGTGATGTATATATAGTGTCCAAATCACTGATGCATTGATAAAAGTATGACAGTCGATAAAAGTTGTTTCGTATAGTATGTCTCTGGCCACCTCCGCCATGAAACCATTCCATCCGTCAACTCCTGGAATGTCTTTGGATTTACTGTAAAGCCACACCAACAGTTGCAGTGATGGGACAATTGTATCATTGTGAGGAAACGCTGTTCTTAAATTATTTATCCGAATTTTGGCCAGAGTGATCATTTCATCATTTCTCTCAAAGTGTTGTAGTGTCACAGTTCCCAAGCACCCCACAGCTTGTCTTCAAGCGTTTAATATTTTGGCCAGGAGCAACAACATTTTTTGGAGTGATGCATCGAATGCTCCCCATTGCATTGTATGAAAAGTATTTCTTCCATCAAGCGTTTGGATGTTGAAATCAGCATTATCGTATACCATTTGGCAAAAGGCTTGTTGTTAAATAGCCAGATGGGGGCGCATTATGGACGACACTTCAAATCGAATTGCTTCATTGTATGTTGCACAAAATCCGAGGGATGACAGGACATCAATCAGTTTTCGCGTAGTCCTACTTGAAGAGGAGAGAGAAAAGATATTGGTCGCACTGCACTAATCAAGGTATGTGCAATTGCTACCGATTATTTCTTCCATGGCTCAAGATTCCCTTGCTTCTCATTTAGTATCACAGTCTCGATAAACACTCGAAGTGTCTCAGCAATAACATCATCGACCCAATCTAAAAATTTATCGGTGGGGGATATTCAGTCATGTCATTTGCTTGAGATCTGATATCTTCGACAACTATGACAGCAGCTGTTTCGACTATGCGGCGAATTTCCTATTTTTCTGTCGAATTCTCTACCTCTCGAAACCAGTTGTCAGGTAATATTTTCCGTCCGGTGGCTTTGAAACAAACATTATACGGTGGTTTTGATTGTTCCTAACAAGTTTGAACCTTCCCTCACCTCTTATTTGAAGAATTAGGGCAAAATTTTTCGTTGCGCCCCCTAGCGGTCAACTTACAAACTTGAAAACTATTCCCAGCAATTTTTCATGCCCTTTTTTATGAAAAGAAATTTTACTTGGAAACTCTAGGACTCCTAGTTCCTAAGATATAGCCAGTTACTTCCTTAGGAGAATCAGCCGGTACGTGAATAGCTCAAGAAAAGTTCCTTTCCAATAAGAATAATAAGATGTGGTTCATCAACTGCTTGAAGACACAAATGGGAAAACATTATATTCCAATATAGCCAGCTACAGAAGATGCTAACAGACTGCTAATAGCAACAGCAATATTTTTAACCACCACTCACCATGTCTAAGATGTGGTCTTGTTAGTCTTGTTTGCAGACATCAAAACCTCAAACCAACGAAATAATTTTTTTCACGAAACGTGGGCCAGGTCAACATGAGGTGACCTACTCAACACCTTTTTCAGATATGACTGTATTGTATTAACCCTCAAATCCTTCTTGTCTTCTACGCCTTCAGTGGATGCGACTCCACATCCACTTTTGACAAGGAAAAACAAAAATGGTCATCATGTTTCAAAAACCTCTAGACCTTTATCTTGATGCCGCGATTTTCTTGGACAGCAACGCCAGATTCACAAAGATACAATTTGTTCCCAGAGGCTACGGCAAAAACACTCTCGATCCAAGCGAGATTGCCTCCCACCCAAATTTATTTTGCGTCAACTGTCATCAGGTAAAATAGCCTTTGAATTCCATTTACCTACCTACATATTTCCTCTTTGATTGAGAAATTTATAATTTGACATGATTTGTACGCGTTTTTGTTTTTTTATAGGTGGTCGCACAAAAATTACTAAATTTATTGCCTACTAGTTAATTACCTACATAGGTATATTAAACATTAAACCCAATCTGGGATCTGCACATTAGTAAAGAAAAAGAAGTTTCAATTAGTGCATAGTGATTATTTAAAGGTGATCACCTATTTTAGCATCAGACATGAGACATATTTTCAATTAACTATTTTATTTTCTACTTTACTATTATAGATCCATAATACCTAGGAAACGAAATACGTTAACACACCTATAACAACCTGATCCATAACGCCCGCTTTTGCGGGCGTTATGATCTATAACGCCCGCTTATAATACCTTAAGGTGTTTTTGTTGTTGTTGTTCTATTAATTTGCACTTTACCCTAGGCAGCCAC